ACCACTCTCACATTCGCCCTATAGAGTTAATCTACTTGACGACATTTTTTGATAATACTGATGTAGATGAGCTATTTTAATCGTGATGGAATTTGGCCTAAAAACATAACACTTCTCTCACCAGTTTTATTAGTACTAGACTATTCAGCCTTTCATGAGACACCCTGTTATTTGTATCGATGCAACAATGACGAATATGTAGGGGTATATCAGCTAATAACAGATTACTGAGAATGCATTATTATAGGTCATAAAACATTTATATCGACTTTTGTAGATATTGGTTGTAAAACTCGTCAAATATAGAAAAGTGATCGAGAAATTGTTTTACGTGGAATGAAAAACAGCTGACCAAAACGAGCAAAACTATTTTTTTTTATAACATCTGAAACGTTCATAACAGAGCTTTTAACATACGCTGGCGTTTTTTGAACGAGTTTTCGGGAAGTTTTCAGGTGATGATATATAAATTTTTTTATGACTCATTCCCAAGAAAGTATAATTTTTCATCCATAAAATAGTAGTTCAAAGATTTCCTCAAAATACGAATCAAGGTATGTTTAGATTTACTGACAGTCAATGGTTGGACCGAGTATCAATTTTTTGTGATGAATCAAGCGCCGAAAAACGTAGTTAAATTCCAAATTTTTCATGATCCCCAATCCGTGCGAAACGTATATCTATCACAAGCTAATATAAAACCTTCAGGTGCTTTGCTTTTTATTTTACATTTCATGAATAAAGTTTTTATTATTGCTAAGTTTATAAGCGTCATTTGAAATACTAGACTTCGAGAAAAGACGAGAATTCTTTCATTTTCGTTTTTCCTTTCACAATAACCTACTTTGCCAAAACACATTAAACTGCTTTGGAACCAGCTCTCATTCTTATTGAAAATACGAGAAATTATCAGCCGACTGTGACAAAATCTAGTGACTGATCAATTTCGAGTAACAGCGAAGCCATGATTTCACATTGACAGGCCCATAGCCTACTTAAAGAAGTTTAAAATCTCGATCCTTTCGACCAGCGACATGATGTTCGACAAATAATTCATAATTTCACAAGCCTACTTCAAATTCTTTATGGATAATTCAGAGATAAGAGACTTGTCATTGACCCATAGCCTACTTAGAAAATTCAAAATCCCGGTATACGGATCGATTCCTTGCAAGAAATCAAGTTTGCCAGCATGCAGTTTCACGGCCCTACTTTGACGAATTGAAAAATCTGGATAATTCTGAACCAAGAGGTGCGGTTACAGGTTAAAAGATGCGACGGTGCTGTTTCAAAATCCATTCAAACGTTTAACACCGATAGGAAAAGGCGCATGTAAGGACATTGACTCACCGGCTGGCTAGCCTGCTATTGGTGGACGGATACTTCGAATGCCTTCAGAATGAATGGATGCCGGAACCGCGGACTGAAAATAACCAACTTCGCTTGACTGAAGTGTGAGACTGATGCACGGGCTATCTCGCGTGCCGAATGCAAACTTCTTCGTGCAGACTGTAGACGCATCAAGGAGTGGTGGAGATGTGGATGTGTGCGTGGACCGTTTGGTCTTGGTCTTTCTTTCGCCGACTTACGCCTTTGTGTAGCCTAAAGGGGTACATACACCGCCAGATTTTAGCGTACGGCGAGAACCGGATTGACTGACGCTTTGAGTTCAGTGTTACACGAGTTCCTTGAACTATGATGGTTGTTCAAAGTATGCGTTAATTTTTTTATTTTGGCGAGGGCGAATTCGTATTATTGTCCGTGAGTCGTTCAGAACGCCTAGCGCGTTACAGGGCCGTACTAAGAAGTGATTTGTGGTTTTACGACTCGATCGAGAAGTATGCAAAATCATTGCAGGCATGTACAGAGTCCAAACGTACAATTTGGAATTCATATTTTTTCAAAATGTAACTTTCTTGACGAAAAAACTCAGACCTGTCGATTTTTGATTTAATACGAGAAGTAACATCAATAAAATTCTGAGAGAAGAGGTAAACAGCCCAGTATATATGTAGTAAGTTTATTTCTATAAGAAAAAATTACATACCGTGTTGCGATCCAGGTCACCGAAAACTTTGAGGTAAAATATTCTTACTATAATGTACAGATGATATAAATCAAAAGCATGACAATTTGATGCAAATATGATACATATTCTTGACATAACCTCAAAATTAGATGAGGCACTGATAATTAATTGGTGTACGGACACCTTTAGTGAGCCCACGGCTTCGCCACTTCGTTGCTAAGCGGTCGAGCTTATGGTTGTATTCGGTTTCTTTTTCTTTTGTTTTATAGTACGGTAAAAGAGTGCCATATGACTATCTACAAGAAATGAATGCATTAAAATTATCTAGATGCTTTTATGGGCATAACACTTCTTGAGCAGAATATTATATAGGATACTGAACTCAGGCAAAAGAAAAATATAATCTTCAGTTCTTGTGGATATCGTTCAACCACTTAGCAGATTACACATTTGGATTCTACACATAAGTTATATCTTCCTTACAAAAGTTGTGTGTAAGCATTGAGCTATTATATATATATATATATATATATATATATATATTATATAATAAATAATAAATAAATATTCACATAGAATATGTTAAGAATAAGACATGAACGTCCGTTTTTGTATCTTATGAATATTTTGTTTCCAGTTATTTATTATTCATTAATCATCTTTGATTTCCCCTTTGGTGATAAAATCAACACACAATAGTTATTGTTACATTTTGCGACAGCGAGCGGTCGGGTACTGACCAAAATCGCTCATCTATGATCATGGAGGTGGAAACCTTGCCTTCGAATGTACGAGATGCGGCGTTGCCAAGCGAACCAATGATGCAATATTGCAGAATTAGTGGCGAATCTGACCTTTTATTTTGACCTAAAATGGAGCGCAATTAGGACCGATCCGGAATCGATCATAAGCAGATTCGACACAATTCAAAAATAAAACCATTATTTGGTCGTGAAGAATAAACTAACGCATATTTTCAACATGCATCTTAATTCAAGGAAGTGGTTTAACATATTGGCAACGCGGCAGATTGCCGCGTCAGCGTTACTAGGCAATGCGGTGACGAGCTTCGCTTCTTTCTCTTTCTAACATATATGTCTATTACACATTTCTCTCTTATACACATTGAACTCAAGCCTTCAGATAAATTTGGTTCTCAGTGTATACGACAATAAACCAAAGGAAGCAATCGCCTAAAAAAACACTTCTACTAAAGCATTATCCTCAAATAATACTCATTTCAGTTTCCTATTGACAATGAAATAGCTTGTTATCCTTGAAGGGTATAAATATCTATTTCCTCTTCGGTGCTTCCTCATCGATAACGGCAAAAATTTGACCTTAGTTCATGATCTTAATGTTAGGCAACACATCTTACACACAGATGCTGTACGGTCCACTTATCCTCATACATATTTATTTTTTGGTAGGTCATTCACATCCTTTCCTTTTTTTAGTAGGTCAAATGTCGGTCAAAGGTAGATCAAACGTCACTTTCGCACATGGCCAAACGTCAAAATTGTTGTTTACAGATCTAGATAATCGCCGGTTTGACTGACTATTTTTAGCCGCATACTGTGTTTTACGTGACATCCTGAGATCCTGAAACAGTTACAATATATTCGCCCGAAATCGTTCAATAATGCGACAGCTGCTAAACATGTATTGTGAAATCATCAAGTAGTTCGTCCATACTTTGTGAAGTACCATTACGTATAAATAAATATACATATTCCGAGAAAGTGATAATAACACTAAAACAAACAATTATTATATTGGTCGATACTCGATACCACTGCGCGGCGTAGGTATTTTCTAGTCTCGTCCACATATTTCAGTGACGATAAGATGTATTTCAAAGCTGCGGTAAAACCTAGAGCTGTGTTGCGTGTTTATCGGAACTTTTCTTGCAGTTCTGTCAGGAATAGTAAACACAGGTAAGGATAGTTTTAGTTCACATTCGCTTTTGATGCCAACATAAAAGCAAGGTCTCTCTGGGCCCAGCAGGTTGAGAGCATGTGAATTTAATACTGATGAAAAAAGTGAATCAAAAAATGTTATTCTTCGTTCAGAAATAGACTAACTAATGGAAATTCAGATTGATACTCTATGACTAAATTATAGTCTAGTCATGTTAGACAAAAAAATACCCTGGTTCGCGGAATAATTATAATGTTTGATTTCATCAAAACCAGTTCAGGTGATATTTTAAACGTGGGTGCTTAAAATAGGTAGCTCAATTTTTGAGGGAAAATATTTTATCTGGCAACACAGAATGAGATTAGGCGAATTTTGGGATTCAATGAAAAGCGTTTGCATGAACGCAAAAAATCGGAGCCACAGGTTTAGGTTTTTTATTATAAATTTGAAGTAGTACTTAATTTAAATATTCCAAAAATCTGTAGTTTTGGACAAAAATGTCAGAATTGCGAACTTTGGGCTTTTAAAAAATAATTAAACACTACAATAAAAAGGACAATGTTGATGAAAGTTTAAAAACTGTATTTTCTACATTACAAATATTACAAAAAAGCTATGAGAATCCTCTTAAATGAAAATAAATATTCTAGAATAAATATGCTGATAACTAGAATGGTTTTTCCAACAGTTGCAAACTACTAATTGTTGGAGGTGGTACGGGAGGTTGCTCGGTAGCGGCAAAATTCGCAAAATGTCTCAAAAAGAAAGAACTCTATGTGTTGGAGGCCAGCGAAGATCACTATTACCAACCTCTATTCACTCTTGTTGGCGGCGGCATGGAAACGTTAGAAGAGTCCAGGAAAAACGAGGCTGATGTGCTGCCAAAAAACTGCACCTGGTTGAAAAGCAATGCAGTCCGTTTTGATCCGATGGAAAACACTGTGACTGCACAGACTGGGGACGTGATAAAATATGATTTTCTTCTTGTGGCCGTTGGATTGGAGCTGAGATATGACAAGGTTAGGAAATCGTTATTATCATCTTTTTCTTCACAGCTTCCATCTGTGTCATAATCAGATTTGTTGACATAAACAACATTGATCAAAGGTTATCGATTGGCGACCCAGTGGAATTTGTTTGTACAATTTTTTCAAACAAATTACAAAAAATTGATTTTCGGTAGGGACCTTTTATGTTTTTTGGATTTTTCTGAGCAAAAAGGGTTCTTAATTACCTCCTTCGACGGTTCACCGTCTGTAAGTTATAAGTGGTTTATAGTCAAAAACCGAAACAAATTTTAACCTGATGCCCTCTTTCCCATATATGCTCACTTTGACGTTTCTCCCTTTGTTATACAGGGTCGCACCCCTATTTGTGGCTCTCCTGCACGGGTACTACATAAAAAACTTATAAAACGTCAACAAAAAAACACCTGTAAGATGTCAACTTGCAGACTAGGTAGTTTTTAGGGCACCAACAGTCATTCCACGTTTGCTCACTAGGATCGTTGTGAACGTCCATCTATGGAGGAATCAGTTAACTAAACTACGCGCATTGTTGGTTGCATAGTTTTGTGAGGCCGAGTGATCCGTGTCTGTAGTTTTTATCTCTGAGAAGAAAGTTGGTTGAATAGCAAGAACGCCTCTGGATGATTATGTGTATTGGTCTGCATGAGTATAAAATCAGTGATATTTGCTGTGTGAGAAAATCATTACCGAATATGACGGGTTGTTTATATGTTGTGCTTTCTGAAGAGAGGTTATGCTTAAAGTTATATATTACGAAAAACTGAGGAGAATTACGGGAAATCATTATTATTAAGGACATACTTTTGAAAATACCGCTACCTCTCAAACTTTGCTAAAAAGCGTTGCTTAACCACCAGTTCTATTCAGTTGATGAGTTACGTTGATGCTATGACGTCACTAGGATAAATTAGTTTGTATAACCACACATATAAATCAAATTCAAGCGGATAACCAAATGGAAATGGTATTTACCATTTTGGGTTGGTATTTACCAATCCGTTCAAGCGAGTGTAGTTATCAGTTTGGTTATAAGATCCGTGACGTCACGAATCAGCTGTTATATGTCATAGTTATCACCGCAAAATTGTGGTATTTACCCAACTCAAGAGTAGTTTTATATTTCTGGTTATTATTTGAAATGTGACAAGTTAGAATTTTGCCGGGTATTGGATATTGTTATTGTACTTCAGCTTCATTTTTGAGAAAAACGATACAGGCTGACTTCAGTTTTACCATAAAGTGGAGCACCTTATTAGTTATACTCATTACGGTTGTTGGGGATACTTTAAATGTAGTTCCTATGCTTAACAAAGTATCCTGTGTAGCCATATACCACAAGAATATTAAAATATGGCCATATAAACTCACTAGATGATATCCACCTGTATACGGTTTTGCTAATTTCTTTTTTCATCATTTCTGCTGAATCAATCAATGTTTTCTTTGACATGTGGAAAAATTTAGAGAATTGAAAGTTATCATAGCTACAAAGCCATGGTTAGATCATTAAAAAAAAAATCTGAAAAAACATTTCTCCATGAATATTATGAAAGGTTTCTTATTTAAACTTTCCATATACAGTTGTAGACGAAAAAGCACCGATTATTAAGTGATAATAAAAATAATCAGAGATTATATACGCGCTTTTCTAAAATAAACAACTTGCAACAAAACCGCGGTTAAAACCAACGCGTTCAAGCGATTCGTGTAACTGACGTCATCAACCCGTGTGTCATCTTGAACCATATTATAACCGCGGCACATAACACAGAAATTTTGGTTATTCGCTTGGATTTGATTATAGTCAAAATCACGAAAGATGACTATTACATCATACCATTTATGGTACAATTTATTGTACTGAAGTAATCAATGGACGTACGTCGATGATAAAATCACGTTGTCAGGTACATAATGACAAGACAACAGATTTATATCACTAATTGTTTTTATTTTCATTTTATTTCATGGTTTTGAGTGATACCTTCATAATAATTTTAGTGAAGAGTTTTTGTTTTGAAAAAACAACAGTTATGACTAGAATACCTTAAGACAAGAACACCAAAGACCAAAGTATTAGTCGAAAACAACCTAACCTGCTTTAACATAACCTAACTATTCATCTTTCAAATATGATCGATCATGCAACATGAAAACATCGTCTATCTTTGTCGGATACATGCAAATTAGCAATACAGTTTGTTTAGACCATAAAATTATGTTTGTCTCTGTCTAACATCTGAAACTTCATAAAAAATATTCACAAATCGCTATCGTTTGTCTTTACTACAGACTAAAATGATGACGTAATCGTCATCTTTCGTGATTTCGACTATATACATTGTATATACATGGTATATTGTCACAATTATTTAGATTCCAGGTCTTGAAGAGGCTCTAAGTAAACCTTCAAAATCTTCAGGAGTTTGCTCAAACTACTCTCCGAAGTATGTAAATAGAACGTGGGAAGTTTTGCAGCAGTTGACAGACGGTAATGCGTTTTTCACCTTCCCAAATAGTCCTGTGAAGTGTCCTGGAGCGCCGCAGAAGATTTGTTACATAGCTGATGCGTATCTGAGAAAGGTAAATATTTTCATCGATCGGCAGTACTGCATTTTCGCTCTGAAGGGTCGTTATTTTTGAGGTTATGTTACAAATATCTATTTGCATCAAATTGTTCATGCTTTTGATTTGTATCATCTGCTATATAGCCTGAAATTTCCTACAATTCGAAAAGAAAGCATAGCCTCACTACTGACGCTGACACAGAACAGCAGAAATCTAGCAATACCCCAGTGTTTTTGAAGGAGAGAAAATACTATGAAAATTAAGGAGGCCATACAGGCGTCCTACAATTATTGTAGGGATGACTGACGTTATAGCCCTAAGACAAAACGTTCTATTGGACCATCAACGTGAATACTTCCTCAAAAACCACGCTCGAACAATGTATGTCTCTATTTCTATTTACAGTTTTCTGTAAATTCGATGTTTTGTAGGAAGGAAGGAGAGAGAAAGTTAACGTGACTTACAACACGTCATTACCAGTAATTTTTGGCGTGAAGAAGTACGCTGATGCTTTGTGGAAAGTGTGCAAAGAAAGGGATATTAACGTGAATTTGAGAACAAACTTAATCGGCCTGGATTCTGATAAAAAAGAGGCCACTTTTCAAAATTTAGATAAGCCCGAAATCAAAACAACTACACAGGTGAGTTAATGATTATTAGGGTGGACCGAAGATTAGTAATTTTTTTGGCTGAATCCAAGGATAGATCGAATCGAAACTTGATAAAAAGTGAAAATATATTTGATGAATATGAATACAATATAAACCGTGTGCTTAATATAAAACACTAAACACACGGAAAGTTTGGAAAATCAGTGCCATCTTAATTGGCAAGTGGAAACCGGATTTGCTGGTATATTTTTTACATTTAACATGCAATATATAAAAATTCAAACAAACAAAAATCGAAGCATCTATACTTTTTTTTTTTCTAGTATTCAATGCTGCACGTAACCCCACCAATGGCGACTCCACAAGCGGTGTCTAGCAATACAGATCTGTCGAATGCAGCGGGATTTGTTGAAGTGAACAATGGCACGTTGCAACACATACGGTTTCCGAATATTTTCGCGATCGGTGATTGTAGTTCATCGCCTAACTCGAAAACCGCCGCAGCAGCAGGTACTTTTTCGACATTAACCTTTCACAAAATGCTAGTAGAATCCGCATCACAGATAATTCCCTTTCTTCTGTCATTTTTCAGCGGACTGGAAGTTTCTTATATTCAAAATCTAAGATTGCAGACCTTCTACGAAAACAAACCCTTAGATAATAACTAAAATCAAACCTAGAGCGACATGCAGGCCTTTATTTGTAAATCTTAAAATAATGACTGTCGTATCGATGTTCATTTTAGAAACAACTCTTATTTTTGAAAATAAAGTAGTACCTGAAACAACACTCGTGGAACGAAGGACTCAATCCAGTGATTTGACTGGGAAGTAATTGCCCATTCCCGTTACAGCTCAGACTGTAATTCAAGAACTATGGAAAAAAATAGCTTAAAGATCAACGTTTCGAATGGTGCCTTCGTTTATTCAGATAAAAAATTCCTTGCGCCTGAAAAAAATGTGGGAACCTTTTTGAAGCAATCCTCGTATGTTATAGTTTAGCTTTATCATTGAGCATGATTGGATTCTACGGACAATAAAGCGATGTTTTTTCTTCCTTGATGTTGTTGTTGAAGATTTATTTAGCATTAATGCTACTATTACAATTTTGCAGATGAAAATCTATACTGCCTCTAGTTTCGTAGTTATGATAATGACTATTTAATTTTGTTAAATGTGGTGGTCATAAATGATTTTTTAATTTGAACATGAAAACGAGAACTAAATAATATATGAAATTTTTCACATCCAACCACTGCCGTTCTTCTAACATAGACTTAATCCTAGTATATTTGTTTTTATTTAAAATGATTCTCATAGCTTTATTTTGTAGAATTTGTAATTTTGAAAATATGTTTTCATTTGCTGTAAACAAGAGGGTTGAACAATATAAAAAATGGGGAAGAATTATAGTATTATACACAGTTTTTTTTTGGAATACATACTAAGATTATGGGAAACTCTATAGAAGTAATTCATCTTTTCCGATATTTTTGAAATATGTAACGTATTCGTAATGTTCGTGAAACAGTAGCTTACTATCCACATATGTATATACCAAGATATTTAAATGACTCGACTACTTCAATTTTTTTTATTGTCACCTTAATGTTTCCCTATTGACATACATTTTGTTTTATTAGTGTTTAAGTTTATTGTCATTTAATCAATTCATAATTTTTTCAATATCACTATTTAACAGTTCTAAAGCAGTGTCCAAATGCTTATATATATATATATATATATATATATATATATATAACTTGAGACGTGGTCATTGTCGTCTAGACCAGTTAGGTGAAAAATTAAAGCTTCCGCCTTTTGTTGGGTACTTCGACAAAATTCTGAAAATCACATCATCTGAAGTGATTTGGCAACGTTTGGCACACGCCCACAATTCGTTCCATCTTTCAACGCAGACATTGACAACCTTCGGCCTTCTGTCAAAGGGTTTCATCTCACTCACTATTCCATGACCACCATTTTGTGCAATCATCAAGTGGCTTCACGATGTAATGCTCTAATGTTTTTTAAATAATTTTAATCTGTTTTTAACTTGTTCTTGTCATATTTTATATAATTTTGACCATTGTACCATCTATCCAGCTCTCACCATGTTACTGGACGTTTCCCTGATCCTATACGTAAACAACAATTAGCAACATCCTCACATACTACTGTAAGTTGAGTCAATTTAAATTCATTTTACACTTTTGTTGCTACTGTTATCATTGTAATTGCAGCTCCTGATGATGATGGCAAAGTCCATTGAAAGCTAGAGAGAATTAAAAAAGTATAAAAGTCCTCTTTGCTTAAATTTTGTCGAAGTACCCAACAAAAGGCGAAAGCTTTAATTTTTCACCTATATATATATATATATATATATATATATAAGTGTATCGTCCGCAAATATTTTAATTTTGAAGTGTTCTAAAATGTCAGGGATATCATTTATATAAATAATAAATAGTAACGGCCCTAATTTACTCCCCTGTGGCACCCCTACTGATATATTTTGAACACTTAACATAATAGTTCCAACTTTAGCTTTCTGACGTCTATTTACTAAATAATTTTGTAGAATGTGTAATACTGATCCTTTAAAGCCATAGTGACGCAATTTCATTAACAATTTTTTCCTATCTATAGTCTCAAATGCCCTTTTGAATTCTAAAAGTATTGTTACAATATATTCTTGGAACACTTTAATTTTTCCAGCTGCCCAGTGCGAAATAATCCACAAAAACCTCTGTGCCGTAATGGAGGGTAGAACGCCGGAAGAAAAGTACGACGGATACGCGTCCTGCCCTCTGGTGACCGGTTACGACAAATGCATCCTGGCGGAGTTCGATTACAACCTCAGCCCGTTGGAAACTTTCCCTTTCAGCCAGGATAAGGAAATGCGCAGCATGTTTATGCTGAAAAAGTCCATTATGCCGCCGTTATATTGGCATCTTATGTTGAATGGTAAGTATAAGACTCGAAGCATCAACGTAACGGGTGTTTCAAATTTTTAATCGGAATTAAAAACGCAAAAATCCAATACGGCGTCCTTAAGCGATAAGAAGAGCGGGATCTCTTCCACTAAGGCAACTAAACAAGGATCCGAATTTTAGGATAAAAATTTCATCTTTAGGAGTTTGATGATCAAAGGTCAATTCGCAAGTGCCTCTTCTACTGGTAACTCTGTATTCTTTGTTTATTATCTTTATTATTTGATGGTCCGGGGTTAAAAACAAACTATTTTTCAACAGGTTACTGGAATGGACCGAGTCTGTTCAGAAAAATAATGCACCTTGATTTCGCATATGGCAACAAGAGGAACCCGGCAAAGCAGGATTGATTCCTTTCACATTCCCTTTTAATAATCCTTAACCCTTCTTCCCTATCGAAATAAGACGGCACAAAGTGCCATCTATTATGAGAATCGACTACCAAGCGAGGGAAAACATCAGTTCGCATTTTCAGCTTCAACAGACAGCTCGTTGTTTTAGCTTTCGCAGAGTGGTAAATTCTGGTAATACATGGCACTTTGTGCTGTCTTACTTATACTCTCAATAGAGGTTTCGTTCATTGTCCTACCGAGACCGAGCGTACACCGTACCGAAGAGTTGCCGAATAGCACGAAACAGCTATCCATGGTTAGCCGTCAGTGGTCGGACAACTCAAAGCTCATTACTTTCATATAATCCCTAACCCACGTTTTCCCGTTTATCCTACAGGGCATTGGAATGGACCAGCACCTTTCAGGAAAATGATGCATTGGGGCCAAGTCAAAAATGGAAGCAAGAAAAGGTTACATATCTAAGCAAATCTGTATGTTCCTGAACACAAAATTAAGTATGATATGTTACTAGTTTGTCTTTCAAATCATTTATTTACTTTTTTTAAAAGTGAAAAAAACAAAAATTGTCAATTTTTAGTTAGGTATGCGATTATCTCAACAGATTTATAAAAATATTGTTTTCTTGATAAACATTTATGGCACTAAAAAGTTTTCCCAATATTATAAACAAATAAACAAAAACAAATATATGAAATATTTCCTAGTGACACCCAGTATATGATTAGAACATTTGTCTCATATATTTAACTGTAAAATAATGAAATTACTAACATAGCAGTATTATAAACCACATGACAATATATTTTTTTCTTAGACCTAGTACTTTTTAAAATATATTATGAAATATATATTTTGCATGTCTGCTGTATATTTTGGGTAAATTATCATTTGAAATTTTTTATAAATAAATTGTTTCCGTTCTATTATTCCTCATAACCTTTTTGTATTTATTTACACGTCTGACCATGCCGGCGAAATGCAATGAGAGCATATTAAGCAACATGATCGTTGAGCCATTCCTTCACAGATGGCGCTCACAGCGAGGATTGGGCAAGCGACTACTTAGTACGCAAAATTGACATTATACCGATTTTTAATCTTTGCGTAGAATAACAACTGATTATCTAGTAATATTTTAAATGACACATAATTCTGACGGATCCGTCAATGCCAGGTGGACAAAGCCCGATTCATTATTGCCAATGTTACAGACTAATATAAAGTTGTCACTTGCTGATTAGCTGTTCACCTCAGTAGTCGTCAAAGCGGGATTGGGGGGGGAGGGGGAGCGGAGAGACTAATAAAAAAACATTTGACTAAAAACCATATGTGCCTAAATCTAAATTACAAAATTCCGCTACTTAACAAAAATCCCAATTCCGCCGCTACCGCCACCACCCACCAGTTGGAAAATTCCGTTACTTTTCTGGTTCTGACACCACTTGGTCTGTGGTCTGTGGCTGTGGTCTCAGATATTAAATTAGTATTATTGACAGATTGCCACTTAAATTATTAACTTTGCAATTCTTGTTATAATGGGGCAACCACAAGTGATGGTCACCCCTCCCACGAGAAATTTTAAAAAAAAAGAATGATTCTGCTACAAGAGCAGGATAACGATTCATCACTTAAACAGTCACTATAAATTTTGTACGTGGTGCATTAGGAACTCTTAAGTGTTGCCATCTATTACTGATCTATGGAAGCAACATCGTCCTTTCAGACTCCTGTTGCAACGTTGTCAGGTTTACTGATTTATCTGTAAAACTGCCGCCTGCCTACGTGATAAGCGACAAATCCAATTAAGAAAGTATATCCATTAATAGTAAATTTTTGTAGAAGAAACATTTGCACACTTTGAATACCTCTATTTATAAATATAAGTACAAATTCTTGAAACATGTAGGAATTGAAATAAAAATTTACAGAAGATATATACACTCTTTATTTTTACTTGAGTAAGGACCATTTCAGCTGTTCTTTAGCAGATTGAAACACCTATAAATAAACAAAATATTTAATTACAAAAAAGTAATACTGTATAATTGTTACATAAAAAAGGTTTCACCAAAATATCGAATGTATTGCATTTGTTACCTGAGCTACAGTTTGTTCACCTATTGGAATGTCATCATTCCTTAAGGCTACTCTTGATACTACAGAACCTGGGTCAGCATCTAGTATAATCCTAAAAAATAAAATTGCAATTTGAATATGATTTTATATAAAACTATCCAAAGTTTATATTACGGTGAAATTTTGCTAGTGGAAGCTTATTTTGTTCAAACAATTGGTAGTTAATTACCCTCCATCGACTATTTCATCCATAGCAAGCATGACAATGTCAAGAGACTCCAAAACCGCTCGTTTCTCAACATTCTTCCTCAGGATTTGGCTGACTGAATCATATAAACAATTCAATACACTCATCAATATAAGCTGAAACATAACAATATTCAGTAACATATAGGAGTATTTTTCATAAAAAGTCAACCTCGTTTTCGTGTGATCTTCCCATAACATAGAAAAACAGATCTACGTTACTCCTGTACACGCATGTGAGACCATCTAACATGATAATTTCAGCGTTAGCCCTGTGCGTCTTGTTGAAAAGGTTTTTCTCGAACGCCTTCTGCTCTTTGGCAGTAGGGAATGTGTTTTTGTCGTAGTATTTGGCCAGTATTCTGTTTCCATCATTGTCCAAGATTGCAATACCTTTTATTGTGTATAAGGTCGGCTCCTACAATTGGTATTATTAGTATTTTGCATATAGGTAAAGAAAATGCACTTACAAGCAAATATCCCTCCATTATGTTCAATAAATTTAAAAAAAAAACTAGATAATTGTATTTAAAATTGCATGTCCACGTCACATTTGTTTTGACGCGTTTTGATTTTCAATTCTGTCAACAACAAATCACGGAAACAGAATGACACAGATATGCAGCTCCCCTTTCGAAGGCCGCCATTTTCATCCAAAATGCATTGCTACGTTACCTTTTTTTAAAATGTCTTCATAAATCTAGAGGCTCTACTGTAAATTTTTGTATGTTAGCAAGGTTGTAAATTGACAGTCTGTCGTTAAATTGAAATTATAAACTGAAATTTCAGCCTAGTGTGAGTCGCAGCACCTATTCAAATCCACCTTGTATTCGGATTACAACGAACGAACATTTTGTTTTTCCCATCACTATCAGCACACTCTTTTGACATATTTGACAAGCAACAGATGATGACCTGCCAAGAATCAAATTCAAGCGGATAACCAAATGGAAATGGTATTTATTTACCAATCCGTTCAAGCGAGTGTAGTTATCAGTTTGGTTATAAGATCCGTGACGTCACGAATCAGCTGTTATATGTCATAGTTATCACCGCAAAATTGTGGTATTTACCCAACTCGAAAGTAGTTTTATATTTCTGGTTATTATTTGAAATGTGACAAGTTAGAATTTTGCCGGGTATTGGATATTGTTATTGTACTTCAGCTTCATTTTGAGAAAAATGATACAGGCTGACTTCAGTTTTACCATAAAGTGGAGCACCTTATTAGTTATACTCATTACGGTTGTTGGGGACACTTTAAATGTACTTCCTATGCTTAACAAAGTATCCTGTGTAGCCATATACCACAAGAATATTAAAATATGGCCATATAAACTCACTAGATGATATCCACCTGTATACGGTTTTGCTAATATCTTTTTTCATCATTTCTGCTGAATCAATAAATGTTTTCTTTGACATGTGCAAAAATTTAGAGAATTGAAAGTTATCATAGCTACAAAGCCATGGTTCCATCATTAAAAAAAATCTGAAAAAACATTTCTCCCATGAATATTATGAAAGGTTTCTTATTTAAACTTTCCATATACAGTTGTAGACGAAAAAGCACCGATTATTAAGTGATAATAAAAATAATCAGAGATTACATACGCGCTTTTCTAAAATAAACAACTTGCAACAAAACCGCGGTTAAAACCAACGCGTTCAAGCGATTCGTGTAACTGACGTCATCAATCCGTGTGTCATCTTGAACCATATTATAACCGCGGCACATAACACAGAAATTTTGGTTATTCGCTTGGATTTGATTAATAATTTCAGCCTAGTGTGAGTGGCAGCACCTATTCAAATCCACCTTGTATTCGGATTACAAAGAATGAGTATTTTGTTTATCCGATCACTACCAGCATCACTCTTTTGACATCTTTGACATGCAACAGATGACGGACTTTGCAAGGTCAGAGGAAGTATGCCGTTAAGCAAGGCCAATTTATCTGGGACACCTTCATTTTAATAGTGAAAAGAGCACCTGAGACATGAATTGAACCGCCAACCTACATTTCATTCAATTTATTTCCAGACCCAGTGCATAACATTACTTCAATTTTGAGGGCAGCAACGTCTCAGGAGCCTCCAAAATGTCTCGTCTGTTTGGTATGTACGGTAGAGTGTGCGCTTCTCGCCCCTGGGAGGTTATTGTAGCGGTCATAACGTTAACGGCATGCTTTTTAACCATGGAGAAATCTCAGAAACCTGTTCCGATTACCACGACTTCGACATGCCTTGGATGCAAAGAAGACCACTTTCATGCTGCCGATGTTGTTGTGATGACCATAATCCGATGCCTAGCTATACTTTACAGCTACCACCAGTTTAGAAACCTTCAGAATCTAGGCTCGAAATACATCCTCGGAATAGCCGGTTTGTTTGTTGTGTTCTCTAGCTTTGTTTTCACTTCTGCGGTGCTCAATATCTTGCAGATAGAACTAGTGGATCTCAAAGACGCATTATTCTTCTTCCTGTTGCTAATAGATTTATCTAAAGCTGCCAAATTAGCTCAGTTCGCTCTAATATCGTCGAGTGAGGATGAGATTGCATCATGTATCGCAAAAGGGGTATCTATTTTAGGTCCCACCATCACCTTAGATACTGTTGTGGAAACACTTGTGATAGGTGTGGGGACGTTATCTGGAGTTCATAGACTTGAGATCTTATCATATTTTGCTTGTTTGTCTGTGATAGTAAATTATATAATTTTTATGACATTTTACCCTGCGTGCTTGTCGTTAATGATGGAGCTAGGCAAGGTATCAAATTTCTATGGAGAGGAAAAAGCTGGTGTCACTAAAATGTTATTGGAAGAAACCGAAAAATCTAACCCAGCAGTCCAGAGAGTGAAACTGATAATGTCGATAGGGCTTATGGCAGTTCATATTCACAGCAGATGGTCTGTTACGAGCGGTAACCCTCAAGACGGCTTAAACAAAAATCAAACGGAAACAGTAGATTGCAGGGAGGATACTTCATTTTATGGATATCTTATGAAACAGTTCGCCTTAAGTGCAGATCACATAGTCATCCTTATCCTGTTGATAACGCTTATGATCAAGTTTATATTCTTTGAAAGCAAAGATCCTTTAAGAGAACACATCGAGCCGGAAACTATAAGGGACATAAAAAGGGGCATACAAAGGCAAAAACGTACAATTTCATCCAGTGTAGAAGTCCAGACAGATGTAGAGTACAACCGTTTTATTGAGGCAGAATACTCGGACGAACAGGTTAGTGATGCACCAAGGAGTCTACCGGATTGTTTGAAGATATACAGAGCAGATGAAACGTCAGAATTAACAGATGATGAAATCATTATGCTCATCGACACCAAACATATACCTGCATATAACTTGGAAAAGGCAGTGAAAAACCCCGAGAGAGGTGTGAAAATAAGAAGAAAGATTTTGGAAAATAATCTTAAGAAGAGAGAATCTCTGATTAATCTACCGTATAGAAATTATGATTATAGCAAAGTATTAGGAGCATGTTGTGAAAATGTTATAGGGTATATTCCAGTTCCTATTGGAGTCGCTGGACCACTGCTGGTAGATGATAAAAAGTACTATATTCCTATGGCAACAACTGAAGGATGTCTCATAGCTAGTACAAATAGAGGTAAATCAATATTTGACCTATTTTAATTTAAAAAGCTTGATTAGGAAAAAATCTACAACTAGATGTATTTTCGACTATCAGCTTAATGTAAATTTTTATAAAGAAATTAATCATTTCAATATGCAAAGGATGCTGTTATCAATGTATCTCGCAATTGTTGTGAATTGTATCTCTGGACTATGCCATAATTGATAAGAAACTTTATGAGTCACTTTTTGTATTATAAACATGCAACTGTAAAATATCTTTTGAATCTACATAGCATCAAAATTTTATCCATGTCCCACATTTTAAAGACAACTCATTCCAAGTTACATAAAAATAACTACAGTCAAAAAATGCAAAATTAAAATTTTCTCTCCTTTTTGTTCAAGAGGGGTTTCATATAAAATAAATACAACAAAAATAATTATGTTTTTAATAAAAACTGAGTATACAGGGTGTTTCAGTTTATTGTTGCATAACTTTAAGATTCGATAGAACTTTTAAAATTAATGCATAAAGTCTATATAAACATGGGTCGAAAAATGCGTGGTTTCTGAAATACAGGGTGTTTAAATTTACTTTCTAAAATAGTTTTTTTTAAATATTTCGAACAATATTTGATGTATAACAGTGAAAATTGGTATACAAGAGTTTTGTTTTCTTCAGTTTCTAACTATTCTCGAATAATGAGCTGGACAACCATCAAGCTGGAACCAGGCCAATCTTCTTAAATCTAACATAACATCATCCCACATATTTGCATGTTCAGCCTTTAAAAATTCCAAGAAGGTCGCAGCATTTAACCTTGCAGGCAAAAGGTAGGGTCCAAATAGTCGATTACGGTAGATACCAATCCACACGTTCACACTGAATTCATGCTGAAAATTTCTTTCCCGAACTGCATGCGGATTTTCATGCGACCAAATATGTTGATTATGAAAATTTACCACTCCACGTCTAGTGAAGCATGACTCATCGGTCCATAAAACGTTACTTAAAAACTCCCTATTATTATCAGTTCCACTGACAAAATGTGATTCTTCGTTCTCCGTCCCCTGGCTGTAGTCCTTGCACAGGTTGCAAATGGTAAGGACGTCTATGGTCATTTCTAAGAACACGGTGAACATGGCTTGCTGAAATTCCCAAGGCACCAGAAACTCTCCTAACACTTGTGGTCGGATCTCTATCAAACTCACTAAGAATCATACGGGTAAATCTGCGCTGACGAACATTTATGTTTTGATCCCTTTGGATGTCGTCTGTTTGGAAATCTTCGTGCGTATTTTCTGGCTGCTTCTGCTGCGTTTCCATTTACAAAGCCATACACAAAATGAATATCCGCTAACTCTTGATTGGAGAATAAAAATGGCATTTTTATAAAACTTTTATAAAACGTTTCAGGTTTCAACAGACAACAAAACTAACTGTCAACTAATTGACGTTTAACCTTAATCTGCTTTCAATTTCAAAAATATTTGCAGGCACAGCTTACTTCTAAAAATTATCGAGACACTGACTTTTTACGATATTTTATCATAAATAATTAAAAATGCATCGAACCTTAAAAATCGAAATATCTCATAAACGGCTAACTATAACGAAAATTCACAAGAGAGCTTTTTTATGTTGAAAAGTGCGAAGAATCAGTTTTTTTTATTCAAAAAGTAAAAAATTGCACTAAGAAAAATTTTTCGGTCATTTTAATACACTACAGGTACAGTAGAGAGCGCCCTCTAGCGGCTACAGTAAAACTATGCCCATGGTTCGTTTTGTCGTACCAAAAAACCCTTGTATACCAATTTTCACTGTTATACATCAAATATTGTTTGAAATATTTAAAAAAAACTATTTTAGAAAGTAAATTTAAACACCCTGTATTTCGGAAGCCACGCATTTTTCGACCCATGTTTATATGGACTTTATGCATTAATTTTAAAAGTTCTATCGAATCTTAAAGTTATGCAACAATAAACTGAAACACCCTGTATTAAAGGAACTTGGACATTTAAAATGTATATGTACATAAATATTTTAAAAATAAACAAAAAACTTTAGACAAAAAAAAGGTTTGATACCTTTAAATATATACAAAGTATGTACTTGAACTCGTATTTCTAATTTAGAAAGAAGCTCTGTATCTCCCTGATTTTGAACAAAACTTTTGAGCTGTTTGGTCAGGGTAATAGCTTGACCATAATTTGGAATAGTTTCTGTCGGCACTGGAACCTCATTGACATCAGAGACTTCAGAAGGTTCTTGTATTTCAACTGCGTTTTAAATATTTTTGGCCTCAATCTGGATCTTCCGAGTCAGGTGTATCAGCCTCATTTAACTGGTCTTCTACTTCTTTTGCTTTGCATCATATTAGCCAACCTCAAATATAAGCTTTCTGCGTTTTTGTCATGACAAACCTATTGATAATCTCACCATTTTCACCTTATCTATAAGAGATTAAATATATATTTTACGGTTTGAAGGTTGTCGTGCAATTGAGAAGAGTGGTGTTAAAAGTAGGCTCATCTCGGATGGAATGACAAGAGCGCCCGTGGTTAGATTTCCTTCAATTGTAAAAGCCAGTGATGCAGTTACGTGGATCAAAGATACTGACAATTTTGCTGCTCTGAAACTGTCGTTTGATTCCACCAGTAGGTTTGCTAAGCTGCAGAAGATCACCACACACATTGCTGGAAGATATCTGTTCATAAGGTATAGAGTTCAGTTTTATAATTTCGAATCTAGTTTTGCAACAAGCGCTTTAAATAATATTGACAGATGAAGGTACTGATTAATATGTACGTCTAGGTTCGTAGCAGAAACAGGAGACGCAATGGGCATGAACATGATATCGAAAGGAACCGAATGTTGCTTGCACGCTCTCCAACGGCATTTTCCAGAAATGGAAATCCTCAGTTTGAGTGGCAACGTTTGTACTGACAAAAAACCATCCGCCATAAATTGGTTGCAGAATAGAGGCAAAAGTGTAGTTTGCGAATGTATTATAAGCTCGGAAGTGGTTGCATCGGTGCTTAAAACGACCACTAAAGCCCTGATTGATCTCAATATTTCTAAGAATATGGTTGGGTCTGCAATAGCTGGAAGCATAGGTAAAAATGATAATTCATTTACTTAGATCATAGGGCAAGTATAGAAAACTGTATAATCATGTTCAGTCTCAACAATTTCAAAGGCATGCTCTTATTTTCCTAACAGATGTCGCTGTTAATGTTTGAATTCTTTGAGCATTTATTCCGATTTTTTCATTTTGTGATACCCAGTTAATCTTCTTTATGATTCGCTTATAATTTCAGGTGGTTTCAATGCACACGCGGCGAATATAGTGACGGCCATCTTCATCGCCACAGGTCAAGACGCAGCCCAAAACATATCAAGTAGCAATTGTATGACTATCATGGAACCATGGGGTCAAAATGGGGAAGATCTGTACGTCTCATGCACTATGCCGTCTATAGAAATTGGAACGATTGGTGGAGGTAAGACATACAATACCGAGTTTTTCAGAACTATAATAACTTGTTTGCTTTCCCGTTTTTATATCTCCAGCAACCTCATCGACTAGTACGTAATTGAAAATTAAACTTGTTCTAACTTGGTTGCTATTTTCATATTTGTGTTTTAGCTCCCGAGGATGACAACATAGTTTGTCGAAAGCTTGAGATTTCAGTCAAACAACGCTGTCACTGTATGTTTCCTATCGTCCATAAATCTCCTCCAGTCCTTTAAAACCATTTATATTGCCGTCTCGGCTGAATGTTTCTTCCTGAATCCAGCTTGAAATTTGGTTAAAATTCTATACTAAGTGACATATAAATCCGAACACGAAATAAGTAAATGATAAAAATTTTAAAATGATTGCACTGCTTTAAAGCCCTTTGACCTTTAATAATGTGTGGATACACCCTGATGTGCTACGCATTCTCCAACGCGCCTAGCCATGCTTCTGATCAGGTGGTCAATGTCCTCATGTGGTATCTGATTCCAGGCAACCACCAACTCCTCTCGAAATGCTTCTAGAGTCTGAGGAGGACGTTGCAAATTGAGCAATCTCCTACCCATCATATTCCACACGTGCTCAATTATTGTGGATAAGTCGGGAGATCTTGGTGGCCATGGTAACAATTTGACATCATTATGTTGAAAGAAGTCTATTGTGACTCTTGCAACATGTGGTCGGGCATTATCTTGTTGGAAAGTTGGATCTGTCAGGGTGTCAAGATAGGGTAAAAGATGGGGTACTAGAACTTCGTGGATATAACGCTGCGCGTTCATGTTACCTCTGATGAAGATTAAAGGTGACCTGGAACCATAAGCTATAGCACCCCCAACCCTAACTCCAACAGTGTGATGAACATGTCTTTCAACAAAAAACTGTGGATTCCTCCTTTCACCACGTCGCCTTCTAACCCTGGCACGACCATCGTGCATGCCTAAACAAAATCAAGACTCGTCACTAAAGACAATACTGTTCCATTCCTGATCCCAGAGTGACCGTTGTCTGCACCACTGAAGGCGATTACGTCGGTGTTCTCGAGTTAAAGGGAGGACCCAGTGTGGCCGGTATGAAAACAAGCCAAAACTTCTCATTCGTCGGTAAACACTTCGCATGCCAATAGGTCTTCCGTGTTCTGCAAACCATTCATTTGCAATGGACCTGGCAGTGGAGAAACGGTCCCTTAAGGCCAATAATCTTGGGCGGCGATCTTCACGGTCTGTAGTTCTACGGCGGAGTCCAGTGCCCCTTGCTCTTTGCGTACGGCCTTCTCGAAGCCATGCCTGACAACACCTAACCACGGTGTCTACACTTCTTTGCACTCTAACTGCAATTGCCCGAAAGAAAGTCCAGCTTCCCGAAGTCCCACTATACGGCCCCTATCAAACTCACTAAGTTGACGAAATCGTACAGGTCTCCGTACTCTAGACATCGTAACCGATCGTAAAGGATGTCAAGAACCAAAATCCGCCAACGTTGATTCTTTACTGCGGCTGAAATATTCATTTTTAGAGCGTTAGTGAATTAAAAAAAAAGCAGTATAAAAACCGGAATGTCCAACTGATAAGGCTGAACATTCACCAACTTTTATTAAAATAAAACCATTTAAACCGGGTGTTCGGATTTATATGTCACTTAGTATATTTTTTCTCGGTAAAGTGGATGATCTGTTCATAAATAACTTCTTCAAAGACTTTTGCACCTCATAATTCTTAACTTTGGAAAGAGGAGTGATGGTAGGAAATTGAAAAACACCTGTTAAGTTTCTGACGGTGCCTTAACAAAACATCTCTTTCCAGGCACGATCCTGCCGGCGCAGTCCGCCTGCCTGGACATGCTAGGCGTCCGAGGCCCCCACGAAGACATTCCCGGTGCGAACGCCAAGCAGTTGGCGCGTATCGTATGCGCGTCAGTGGTCGCGGGAGAAATTTCTTTAATGGCGGCGTTGGCCAGCGGCCATCTGGTCAAGAGCCATCTCAAATACAACAGATCGTACTCGGGCAAAAGCGCGTTGGGTCTCGGCCTGAGTTGCGGTAGCGTCGGCAGCTGTGACAGGTAACTGTCGGCCGGCGACAGCGGAGGCACGTACAGGATTCATCGATAAAATTCAGTTAGGTGGTGTAGCATGCTGTCAAGGTAAATGTCAACGATCCGCAGTCGTAAAACATGGCCAAAAGCGGGAAGATTTGCCTAACTTTCAACAAAAAACTTCATATGGGTTCGAGGAATGCGCTCGAATTCGAGTTTTACGTTTTTCAGGCTGCTGATACCGAATTTGACATCGTTTTTGCGTAAAGTTTGATATCAGTTTAAAACAATGGCGGATTCAATATTGCGGACATGTTTGCATGGATCAGTTTAAAATGCCGGATGCAGTATGTACGTTTTTGCTGTCGCCGATAACGAATTTTATACAGATTATATATATACGTATATATATATAGTTAGGTGAAAAATTAAAGCTTCCGCCTTTTGTTGGGTACTTCGACAAAATTTAAGCAAAGAGGACTCTTTATACTTTTTTTTAATTCTCTCTAGCTTTCAATGGACTTTGCCATCATCATCAGGAGAGTAGTATGTGAGGATGTTGCTAATTGTTGTTTTCGTATAGGATGAGGGAAACGTCCAGTAACATGGTGAGAGCTGGATACATAGTCCAATGGTTAAAATTATATAAAATATGACAAGACAAGTTAAAGACAGATTAAAAATTATTTAGAAAACATTAGAGCATTACGTCGTGAATTCACTTTTTTATATAATTTTAACCATTGTACCATGTATCCAGCTCTCACCATGTTACTGGACGTTTCCCTCATCCTATACGTAAACAACAATTAGCAACATCCTCACATACTACTCTCCTGATGATGATGGCAAAGTCCATTGAAAGCTAGAGAGAATTAAAAAAAGTATAAAGAGCTTAAATTTTGTCGAAGTACCCAACAAAAGGCGGAAGCTTTAATTTTTCACCTAACTGGTTTAGACGACAATGACCACGTCTCAAGTTATATAATATATATATATATATATATATATACAATTTGGCTGCTTTTTTGTATGGTTTTCGAAAGTGATGTATTCGGCGATTGAAAAGTGGCAGCTTCTGAGACAAATACCCTCAAGGGGGGGCCTCATGATTCGGGTCGAGCAACATAATGTCTACTCCAAGACAGCAAAATATACCATTTTTTTGTAAAAAAACATGGCAAATTTCGGCGTTTAAATCCGCCCTTGGTAGCATTGAACTATAGGTGAACCCCAGTTAGGTAAAACGCTTCAACTGTTCTGTCTATGCGAACGAAGATATTGTTCTAGGCATTCTAGTTTCCTGTGTGACTTCTGTGAAGGCGATATATGTTGCTTTAATTGGATACCCAAAGCTGTTGTGATTTTCACAGATTCTAGTAACTGCTCTTTTAAAGACTTGTAACGTTTAATGTATAACTTATTTATTTTTCGTATGTAGGCGTAAGCTTCCATAGATAAATTATAATAGTGATATTTATATTTTGTGTTAAGAGTTACTTTTTTGTTATCGGTTTTAATGTACTTTAATATATTTTCTAAAAAGAATGTGGCTTTATTTACCTCCACCGACTATGAAGCCGCAACAATTGACGTCGCATACGAAGCTATCGTATAAGATAATCTTAATCAGAATGTGAGTTTTCGTGCTGACGGAGCAACTTGTTCTTAAAATTTTTTTTACCTGCTATGTTTGTGAAATTGATATGGATACGTAAATTTATAGCCCACAAGATAAAATAACGTGTTTCGGTTCATAGGTATACTTTATCTGAAGTCACTTGAAACACTGTGAAATACCGGGTGCGTTTTATATATCTATATTTAACACGCTCTGTTGCTGCAAAAATCGCCAAATTTCGCAGCAAATATCCCCCGTATAAGATCAAAGGCAGTTTCACCGGTCCACGTGGAGTAAAGCACGCCTATGCGTGGACATAGCCAATGAGAAAGCGTGTATTTCAGAGCTCGGAACAAGTGCAGGTGGCTATTGAAAATTGAAACAGTTTAGCCAGTGCCGTGTAGCGGTGAATAAACGTGTTTTCTTTAGTCTGTCCGTGTTTTTTCATAGATTTTATTAGTTTGTGTGTTTTTGACTTTTGAATACTCAGTTTACTTGTTGATTTAATTGTTGTGTTGATTGTTCTTGTGTGTCCTAAATATGGCTCTTTGGAGACCTTGGGGAAAATGCTCCAAGCCACGAGGAGATGGTTGATGAACCTGTGCAGGCAGAATTCTTTCATAAAGATTTAGAGGAACAGACCCAAAGAGTAATCCTAAATATGTATGATTGTCTGAAAAACGAAAATCCAGATTCCTCGCAAAATCAAATTTTAAACAGAATTTGTATCCTGACAAAAATCAGTAGGTCTACCATTTATCGGGTTATAAAAAGGGGAGATGTAGTCAACCATTCCTTCCACAGAAAGCGCATAGGGCAAAAATTAAAAAGAATAGACGTGGGTTTTCAGGAAGATATTCGTCGTATAATATACGGATTTTATAAAGAAAATTTGGTGCCCACGTTGGAAATGATTCGGGATAAATTAAAAGATTATCCTGAAGATTTTTATAATTACAAATGCTTAGACTCACTGCACTGTATTGTAAAACTGTGTGGTTTTCAATACAAAAAATTAGATAAAAGAATGGTGATTATGGAGTCGTCTCGAATCGTTGAATTGCGCCAAGAATTTTTGCACAAAGTTAAAATCTATAGAGAGCAGAAAAGAAATCTGATTTACCTGGATGAAACGTGGTATGATACCCATGATGTTGTGCAGTACGGCTGGGTTGACGACAGCAACAAGGGAATGGAAATACCACAAAAATCAACCAAAGCCATATTATTGGATCTTATTAAAAGACAAAAATTTGAAAAAGAGTATGTTGTTGACAATCTGCTTCAGCAAAATGGCCATGAAGTATTACGTCTACCTCCCTATTACTGCATTTTTAACCCGATTGAGTTGGTCTGGGCTGCTTTAAAAAAAAAGTAAGAAAACATAATCAGACCCCTCAATTAAGTGAATCGCTATTGGCCACAATAAGAGATGCAGTATCTCATATTGCTGCCACAGACCTATAGAAGCAGTGTTCTAGGCATATTATTGAAAAAGAAAATGAATATTGTGTTTTGCCTCCTGTAAATCCCGTTGTAATTCCTCTACAAGATGACTCTAGCGACAGCTCCGAAGGCGAGGATGATATATAAATACCTATAATGTAAGTCTTTATATACCTTTTTATATACCTACCTGCTATGTAAATATTTGCCTATGTCAAACGTTGGAATTCTGTAATTTTTCCATTTCTTAACTTTCAGTCAACATAAATTAAACTCCCAATATAAGTATTTTTTATCCCAAATCAAAAAAATAAGAAGATAGTAAAATCCATTTATTGTGATATAAAAAAATTATTATTATCGTTCTAAATAAATGCCGCACGCCTATGATACGTCATGAAATTACAAAGGACGCGCCGACCAAAGGTTTTTATGCTATTTCAAGTGACTTCAGATACACCATACATACAGGGTGACTTGTAATGTCACGTATTCCTGTTAAGGGGTGATAGATTAGGTCAAAAGCAACCGATTTTGTCCTATAATGTCCTATCCAGAAGTTAACCGTTTTTGAGTTATTTGAATTTTATTTTTTATTCCGATTTCAGACGCTTAAATTTGAAATACAAAAAAACTACATGTTTGATTTTGAGTTTTTTGTTATCGTCGCATAGCGGACATTCCAATAGTTCATAATAAGTAATAAAATGTTGAAAACTTACAAAAGTTTTAAAATTACGCTTTTGAAATGTATGATTTTCTTATTTTTTCACTAAATTATTCGATAAAAAATGCAATTTTCTGTAAAAAATCTCCTAGTAATGAAATGTGCATTTTATGTAAATAACACTGATCAACAGCCAAAAAATATCCTAAATAAAATCAACAAAATATTACTACTTTTAATGTGCTAAAACCGGAATTAAACTTATTTTTTCAATATTAGTTCAAGTTTTAGAGATACGGTAATTATATGTGTTCCTGCTGTGACAGTGTTAATATACTGTAATTCACAAGAATGCACGTGCTACATTTTTATATTCGGCAAGGAAAGATGTTGTTCCTCAGTTGGCTGACAGCGTTCATGCAAGATGTCTCGAAAGTGTGTAAACAATCCAGATCAGTTTTGTTACGTGTGTGGTGATGTGACTTTTGCGTCTCAGAGACGGTCTATTACTCCACTAATAACAAAGGCATATCAGCTTTATTTCGGTTGTAAACTAGGTGATCAAGACAATCAGTGGGCACCCCACATCTGCTGTAATTCATGTGCTTCAAGTCTGAGGAGCTGGTTAAACAGCAAAAAACGGTCTATGCGCTTTGCTGTCCCAATGGTTTGGAGAGAGCCTACAAATCATATTAATGATTGTTACTTTTGCATGGTACCTTGTGTTGGACAAGCCACAGGTATGTCCAAGAAAAAAAACTCGGTTATTAACTACCCAAACATACCATCTGCGATGAGACCTGTGCCTCACAGTGACGAAAATCCTATTCCAAAACCCCCAGAATCCTACACTTGCGAATCAGAAAACGAATCAGATCATGGCGATCGAGTGATTCGTCAGGAAGAAGATACGCCATCAACGTCAAGAGATCCTGATTTTATACCGAGCACGTCATGCCACCAACCGCACAAAATAACACAGTCAGAATTAAATGAACTTGTAAGAGATTTAGAACTTCCTGAATGTAAGGCAGAGTTACTTGGATCAAGACTGCAGCAGTGGAACTTGTTAGAAGACGATGTTTCGGTATGTGTTTTTCGTAAACGCCACAAAGACTTAGAACCATTTTTCAATATGGAGAATAACTTGGTTTTCTGCAGTAACATTAACGGCTTACTGGCGGCTTTAAATATAAACTATAACCCAGAAGAATGGAGATTGTTTATAGACAGTTCAACATTGAGTTTAAAGGCAGTGTTATTGCATATTGGAAATATTTTACCATCTCTTCCTGTAGGGTATGCAGTTCACATGAAAGAATCATATGACAATATGAAATACCTATAGACATGCATAAAATACGATGAGCACCAATGGCATATTTGTGGCGATTTGAAAGTTGTTACACTTTTACTTGGGCTGCAGCTAGGCTACACAAAGTTTTGCTGTTTTTTGTGTGAATGGGACAGTCGGGCAAAGGCACTTCATTACACCAGACAAAACTGGCCTGTTCGTCAATTCCTAGAGCCAGGTCAAAAAAATGTACAGCATATGTCATTAGTAGATTCGAAAAAAAATTTATTACCACCACTGCATATCAAGTTGGGCCTAATGAAAAACTTTGTCAAGGCATTAGATAGAGATGGGTCAGCTTTTCAATACCTGCGTCAGAAATTTCCAAGACTAAGTGAGGCAAAGGTTAAAGAAGGTACTTTTGTTGGGCCACAGATTCGAAATATTTTGAAAGATACACAGTTTGGAAACACTTTAACAGGTATTGAAAAAACTGCTTGGAATGATCTCCGTCTGGTGGTCACTAATTTCTTGGGAAATAGAAAAGCTGACAACTGTAAAACCCTTGTCAAAAATATGCTGTCA